ACTTTTCCTGAAGGGGCTTCTGTAGGGATCAAGCATTTGCTGGTTTATTCTTTAAATATAGAAAATATTATCAGACACTGCTTGAAAAGTTCACCTTTTACTTAAAACAGTTTCATTATGCCATACAAAAACATATAAAGATTACTGTGATAAAAGCCAATGAATATATTACCAAGGTTAAGAAATAAAACAGCTGAGTGATTTTTCATTTATGACTAAATTAATTTACTAAGCATTAAACTTTTGGATCATTCCACTCCAGGTATTTCATTAGGAAGAAGGTCAGTAGGGACATTGATCAGTTTTCCTAATGCAAAAGAGCCAATTCGTAGATGTTTCTTTCTCTATGTTTTCTTCCTTTTGGAACTTGTAAAGATTTTACACTGTCCTCCTTTTTCAGCTTATAAATGTTCTGACAATGATATTGCATATTGCAAATCCACACATCTTATTTATCAGAGTGTGAGAGTAGAGGACGCTTCTGTATCAAAGATCAAAGATAATATGGTATTGTCATTTACGGATAATTATAGAAAATTTTATTACTATTTATTTAGCCTTATCTTTAAGGATTCTGTTCCTTATCTATTTATCATATTTGTTTTAATCATACCAGAGAAAACACCCAATACTGAATAACTTTTATTTATAAGATTTCTTAGTAACATATTATACTGTGTCTACTACGTACATACTAAATGAATATATGAACGTTTTTTGTGTGCTGCATCAAAGTTCAGTTGTGTTCCTTTTTAGAGATATTTAAAAATACAAAGTCCGTCATCTTAAATATATTACCACTAATGCCCGGGATCCACTACTCCCATCAACATTTGCAGAGTATGGCTAATGTTAGATAAGAGACATGGGAGTGTTTTCTAATACATCAGTCTCAGGGAATTGCCACCCGTAGTGTCAGGATCTAAAGACTCATTTTTGTGGTATTATTGTAGTTCTGTCTAACGAAGATTTTACTGAGCAGCTACAACATACCGGGCACTAAGCCAGACGCATTGCTGGGCCACTTGTGAGTCCTCTATGTGATGTGTCTAGTCAGAGAATCACTCGTTAGCTAGAGTGAACGATTTTGCATTTAAGCTCTCTAGAGCAGTGGTTAGTGAATAGGATCTGTACAGGCACGCTCTGATGTTTTGATGAGGAAGGATACTTGAGACAATGTAATGATGGAACCTAAACAAAGTATGATTTTGGTGTGTGGTTGGTGGAATCACTATAATGTAATGTGACTTAAGCCTTGGATCAATCTACAGTTATTTCAGTTTTTTAAGCATTACTGACGTTTTATTTCTTGTGAATGTACCGTTTAGATTTACATATTAAAAAATGGGTCAGGGGCGCCTGGGTGGCTCAGTTGGTTAAGCGTCTGACGCTTGATTTCGGCTCAGGTCATGATCTCATAGTTTGTGGGATCCGGCCCCATGTCGGGCCTGGTGCTGACAGCACAGAACCTACTTGGCATTCTCTCTCTTTCTGCCCCTCCCCCACTTATGCACACACACTCTCTCTCAAAAATAAATAACTATTTTTAAAAAAAGAAAACACGATCACAAAGATACTAGTTACACACACATATGTGTGGGTACATCTGTATGCATGTAAATGTATATTTTATTATTGAGATTAGGAATTCTTTTCCTTTTGTGGAATTTCTTGTAAAGAGCTCTAATACTTCAGAGAACTGGAGTATTTCCTCCCCTACCACAACAGTGCCGTCATATTCTATTATTAAGTGAGCTGTCACAAGTCACAATGCTCCTTTAAAAGCATTTATTAAATAAACCAGGTAGGGCCGCCTGGGTGGCTCAGTCGGTGAAGAGTCCGACTTGGGCTCAGGTCAAGATCTCACGGTTCATGGATTTGAGACCCATATTGGGCTCTGTGCTGACAGCTCAGAGCCCGGAGCCTGTTCAGATTCTGTGTCTCCCTCTCTCTGCCCCTCCCCCAATCACACCCTGTGTGTGTGTGTGTGTGTGTCAAAAATAAATAAACATTAAAAAAATTAAATAAACTAAGTAAAGATGTGGTTTTCTTTCGTTCTGGGGTTTGTATAACATTGTGGGAGGAACACAAACACTGACTACATACCGTAAGGTCTGTGACTGGTGGTTTGGGGAGAACTGTGCACATTGCAGTTTCTGCAAGGCCACATTTGCTTTCCGCTTCTTCTTGACATTATTATCTAGCCAGCTGTCTTCGGTAACTTGAACTTGCCATCACCATCTCTGCCTACCTTAAGCCTTAAAGGACCTAAAAGAGACAGTGTTTTGAACCCGAGTTCTTTAATTTTCTCTGCTTTCCCCAGGAAAGTTATGAGTCTGAGGATAGCAGGTTTAAAGAAGGAGAGGGTGAGGATGGTGTGCATTTTTTTTTTCCTGACACTGGCCTTGTGCATTATTATGAGAAGGTGCAGGAAGTCCCTGGCGTGCAGCAGGAAATGGAGAGTACTTGGGAACAGGGAAATAGGATTAGTTTCCATGTCATAATTTCGTAGCATGGTTTCACTTTTTAAAAAAATTGTTTCACTTTTTAACAAAGTATCTCAAAATCCCGGAATAAACCAGAACCAAACTGAAATACATGTAATAATATAGAAACACTTTGTCAAGTGAAATAGAATTCCTAAAAATCATCTACCACTTGGAATTATTAGCACCCTCCCCACAGCCCCGTCCCCCTTGGACTGGATAGCAAACGTGGATACTTTGGCACAGTATGGGCCTGTGTAGGTCTCCTTTTTCGTAAATTAATTTTGTCAAACGCCATGATGCTTCAAGGAGAATGTAGAGTGCACTGCGCTCACCGCGTTTATCCCGGTCCGAGGTCTGGTTATGGAGCTCTACTTAGCCGACAGCCAGTGCACCCTGAGGTTGTGACGAGATGATCATAACACAGGAGAAGATAAAACTACGGGGAAGGAGCACGTCTACCATTCAGCATTAACAATGAGACAAAAGCTAAAGTGATGTGCACACATATTTTTATACAACTACTATTGTATTGTGTGCCTCTTAGTAACAATGGTGAGCAGCAGTTGACTTTAATTATTATGAAATCTATACAACCAATTTAGAAAAGTGGCTTTTGAGACCCTTGTGAAGACCCCTACATCTATAGAGAGGCCAGATCCCTTCTTTCTGATGCAGGGGCCTGGATGATGGCGGGCTCTGCTAAAGATCCCAGGACCAGGACTGAGGTCTCAAATCTCACCGGACTGAAGAAGGAGCAGCTCTCTGGGTGCCTGGGTGGCTCAGTCGCTTGAGCGTCTGACTCTTGATTTCGGCTCAGATCATGATCTCACGGCTCAGGGAATCAAGCCCCGCATCGGGCTCTGCACTGTCGCAGAGCTTGTTTGGGATTCTCTCTCTACCTCTCTTTCTGCCCCTTCCCTGCTCACTGGCTTGCACATGCTCTCTCTCCCTCTCTTCTCTCTGCCCCTCCCCCTGCTTGTAAGTATACACTCTCTCTTTCAAAATAAATAAGTAAACATTAAGAAAAGAAGAGAGAGCAGCTCTCCTGTGCACAGCGGAAGTTGCCCCACTGCACTGAAGAGCTAACGTTGAGGGGAGTGAAGATCAGGCTGTGACAAGTGGTGGTGAGAGGGGAGAATTAGGGCAGGGGACCCGGGAGAGGGCAGCCCAGCGGCTGGGGGCCCACCAGTGCTCCTTCCTGGCTTGCTCCTGCAGGGCTGCGCTCCCAGGAGGGAGCTGAGGGGGGCGAGGCAGAGGAAGGCTCCCCATCCAGGCATTTCTGCGGGCACTCCATAAACTGGGAGCATGCTTGCTTAGCTGGAAAATACCCTTGAAGGCACAGAGGAGGAGTATCAGTTAGTCTCTTCTACGTGTGAATTAATGCCCTTGTTTGGTTTTTCTGGACTCCTACCTAGATGCGGTAGAGCACGGGACACCGTAACAGAGGATGTGATGGAAACTCTATTAGGTGACTTTAGGCAACCAGGTGGAAAATGAGGGCAACGGGGCCCCAGGAGATGGAGGGAAAGGGCACTGGGTCAAGAGGGACCAGAGGGGTCAGGAAAGTGTGGTAAGGGAATGAAAAAGGAAGGCGGCAGGAAAGCAGTAGAAAGAGTGTGGGTATGACCTGGGGGCCTCGACTCATGCTTTGCAAAGTCAGAGGGCATGCAAGGCCTCCGTGACGGGCTTCGTGAACTGCACTGGCAGAGGAATCTACTTTCTCATGTAAGTCAAACTTACATGAGACGGATGGAGGCTTCAGATGTCCGTGTCTTCATTTACCCACAGCAAGAGCTACACAGTTCTGACCAATGAGCCGCCAGCAAGGTCTCTCCTCAAATGGGGGACGCGTGGAATGCTACTGGTGCACATGTGACAATCTGTCCCCCGAAGCCTCGTTGCTTCTTGGTATTCTGCGGTCTGTCGTTCCTTACCGACAGCCTGGTCCTGCTCTCATCATTTTCTTAGTTTATTCTTACTTGATCACAGAACACCCATTTCACCAATCCACTCTGATAACCGTACGTTTTTCCATCAGGGAAACAATGTGTAGCTTAATTAAGGCTACTATGGATCAAAGAAAGTTTTGGGCCTTTTTTTTTTTTTTTTTTGGATTAGACTTGTTTTTTGACATATCAGGCCTTAGGGCAGAGTCAAAGCTAGGTACTTATGAAGGCACAGCCTCCTGACCTCATCCAATTTTAACCACAATAAAGCATTTAGATGTGGTGCCATATTTGCTACTCATCCTTTTCAAGTCACTAAGGAGAGACACATATATAATACTTTACTCTTTAGAAATCACATGGTATAAAATGAGTTTCGTTTCACACGCCCTAATCTACATTATAACCTATGCTCTCTCTCTTACAATAGGACCCACATAGCTCATCACCACAAAAAACTGCACAGGAGAATCAATGTATTTCATGATCTGCATAAACTTTTTAATGTAACTTAAGGAAACTATGAGCGCTAAACACGACAGTTTGAAGATAACAGGAATTCAGAATGTACTGCGTTACTAAAGTTCCAAAAAGACACGACTCCCTGGTGTCTCACTAGAATTCGGTCCCTGACGTCCCGAATTAACGCACGTTGCGTTTTATGGGACTGTGGCAGGGAGGGTTACAAGTGAATCCCGAGGCCCGTTGACAAAGGCAGCATGACATGGCCTGCTCTGAATGAACAGCGACCACACTGCAAACAGCCCGTGAAATGCAGACCCCACCTCAGAGAAAGACCCAGCCAAGTCCTCTGGCGCTCCCTTCAGTAAGCTCTGCGACCCTCATATGCCCCCCAGGCCAAGCTCCCATCTTCCTTGGCCCACGGAGAAGGGTCCTGGAGGGCGGGGGTGTCGGCCGCCTCCTCCGGGGTGAGGGGCACCACCTTGTGTGGTAGGTCGTTGGACACGGTCATGAAAGGGGTGAAGGGATACGGGGGTGGGGTGGGGTACCCTGGCACGTGGTAAAGATCCTCCAGCGAGTGCAGGGAGTAGGACTGAGGCCCCACTAGCGGGGGGCCCCAGCTGCAGCTCCTGTGCTGAGCGCTGGTCCCGGACTCCAGCTGGGAGAGGCATCCCGTGCTGGGCGGCAAGGGCTGCAGCGAGTCGGCGGGCACCGGGTCTGCCTGGCCGAGACCGTCGGGCACCGTTTGCTCCCATGAGTCCCTCTGAGGAGAACGGAAAGGTCACGGGGGTTAGTTGTTAGATGATACTCTGCGTGGGCAGATTTCCTCGCCAACACTGGCTGCGGTCAGACCCCGGCTTCCAGAGGGGACGGGGTGTCCCCTGTCTGCCGTTCAGGCCTCCTTACCAGGCCTCTGTTCCCTCTGGTGTCCGACACCAGCGATGAGAGTCTTACTTCCTTTCTTACTCGAGAATTAGATTCTCTGTATTCATGACAATTCCTTTCCCCAGAAAGCACCACTTAATGAGTGAAATGAGAGAATAAAACGAACATTTATACAGCATTTTACCAATTACGATGTACTATGTCGTGCATTCTTTTCGAGCTTCACCTTCACCACACCAGGGGTCCTAGAATGCCCTTTCCACAGTGGGGACAGCGGCTCTGGCCGCTCCTGGGAGGAATAGGTGTCTAAACTACATGCTGGGCTTCTGCCCTCAGTGAGCCAAGAGGCAGAACTTCCAGAAGCTTGGAGCTGGAAAGAGTTGTGTTCAGTTCGTGGCTGTGCCACTTACTACCTGCCTCACTCCAAGTACCTCACTTTGCTCACCTGTAAAATGGGGCCTTAAGAACTGTATCCTGAGTTGTTGCAAGTATGAAAGGAACAGAGGCACACAGGAGTTCTGGCTGGAGGAGGTAACTCCACAATGTTAATTCCCACCCCCTTTTATCTAAAATCCCATCTTTAGAGATTCATTCCTTTGTAGTTGAAGAATTGAAGGCTTTATAGTTTTCTAAAAGATGGGTGTTGGTATTCTTCAGATCTTTCTGAACTGGCCTCTTTGATAGGACTGAGGGAGAACATGATTCTATGGGGCAGAAATACCTGGGAAAGGGGCAGGGGACTGGGAGGGAAGGAGACACCTTGATGGCAGAGTGGAGCCTAGTCCCTTGGGAGGAGTCACTTCAGCACTCTTTCCTCCATGGGAGGTGGGGTGTCTGGCAAAATCAGCTGAGTCCTAAGAAAATGGACGTCAACCTGCCTTATAGCCGTCCCCTCCCAAGACCCTAGACAGATACACCCTGTGGCGGTCACTGTGTGTGTGGATTTTGAGGAGGGGCCCCTCGGAGTGTATCCTGGGAAAGCAGCCTCAGGGGCGAGCAGTGCAAGCCAGACCTGACTTCCACATGGTTGCCAAGGGCAACGACCGGGCCGATGCCGCGTGAGCCCAGGCCTCACCTCACTCCCCCCAAACGGGAGACCCCTGCATACTCACAAGCACGAAGGGCGTGGGGTCCCCGGGAAAGGGCGGGGGCAGGAGTGGCTGCAGGGGCGAGGCGCTGAACAGAGAGCCGGTGCTGGGGGTCAGGCCCGGCGGGGGCCGGTGGTCGGCGTAGGGCTCCGGGAAGTAGGAATCCAGGAGGGCCGGGTGGCTCTGCCCCGCGGGGGACTCACAGGGAAAGGGCTTTGCGGGGCTCGCGGTGCAGACGTCGTTTGCAAACTGTTTCGTGTTGTGGAAGTCTGAGTCGGAGAGGAAAGATCTTCTGACACCATAGTAACCTGACATTACCGGTGAGCCTGTTGCCAAAGGAAAAACAAACTGGGAAGACCAGACATAACTGTTGCAGCTGAGACCCTACACGTGGGAAACGGTCTTTTGTTTTTTTAATTCAAATTTTTATTTAAATTGTAGCTGGTTAACACACCCTGCAATATTGGTTTCAGGAGTAGAATTCAGTGATTCATCACTTACATACAACACCCAGGGCTCATATATAAGTGCCTTCCCCTCCCCCCCCTTTTTTTAAAGTTTATTTATTTTTTTTCCTTAAATAGTTTATTGCCAGGTTGGTTTCCATATAACACCCAGTGCTCATCCCAACAAGTGCCCTCCCTCATGCCCATCACCCTCCTTCCCCCTCCCCCACACCCCTTCAGCCCTCAGTTTGTTCTCAGCATTCAAGAATCTCTCATGGTTTGCCTTAGTTTATTTATTTTATGAGAGGGAGAGAGGGGGCATGAGCTGGGAAGGGACAGAGAGAGAGGGAGAGATAGAATCCCAAGCAGGCTCTTTGCTGTCAGCACAGAGCCCACTGTGGGGCTCAATCTCACAAACATTAAGATCCTGACCTGAGTTGAAATCAAGAGTCAGATACTTAAACACCTAAGCCACCAGGGTGTCCCACAAATGCCCTCCTTAATGCCCATCGCCCGTCTAGCCCACCTCCCACCCATCTGCCTCCATCAACCCTCAGTTTGTTCTCTATCGTCAAGAGTCTCTCACAGTTTGTTTCCATTTCTGCACCACCCCCCCCTGCCCGCCATACGTTCATCTGCTTTGGGGAAACAGTCTTCCTAATGTGTGCCCAACACCAAGGCGGCTAACATTTAAATAGAGAACTGTCTTGAAAAGCCTTAAATGCTGCTGCATTGCCTCTCTTAACTGATCCAGCCCAAAGAACTAATATGTTTAAAATTCATTTGGCCTTCGGAGAGGAGTTCATTTGAGATGGTGCAGTAACTTCTCATTCAGTCACTCCAAGGGCATTTACTGTGCACTTCCTGTGTTGCGGTTACCGTGCTAGGAAAACTTCGGGCTTAAGGAGACAAGGAAAGGAATCCCTTGACATTTACATTTTATCAATGAAGGGTCTTTTTTTTTTACAGCTTCTGAGTTCTGGCCCCATATACACAGCACTGTGAACAACAGGCCGCTCCTGGGTGTGTTCTCTGAGATGCAGCATTTCTAGATAGGGGGATAGGATAACCCCACTCAGAGTCAGAGGCAGGTTGTCTGCTGCTTCTACTTCTTTGTGGACTGACCTTTTATCAGGTGTCTCATACCTAGCAGGCGTCAAGAAAGGGCTTCCTTGCTTTGGGATGATGGAGCTTCTATGCCACCAAGTCAGAAAGAGGACTGCAAAAAACTGTGTTTTCTGGCTCTGACGAGTCTGGTGTTATTTGCTGCCCCCTTGTGTCCATGCCGAGTCCCTGACTCAGCTCACCTAGGCCCTGGGCGAGTTTGGGAAGGGAATACCTCCCACAGAAAATTTCCCCTGGTTTCACCAGGGGAAGGTGGTGAAGCTGAGAAGAGTCTCATTTAGGACAAGGCCAGTGAAATTGTCCCATAAGGGAAGCGAGGTGTTTGGTAAAGACTTTCAGACCCAGTGGCTCCGTTGTAGCAGGAAACACATTAATATTTAGAACATGTTCAGGGAGGTAAGACTCCAGCTCTGTATGACTGACAGCTTAATTATTCCAGCTGGTGGTGGATGTGGTCTAATTAGCTAAGATCTACACACTGAGGTGACAAAAGGGCTGAATTGGGAAGAGAGGCAGGTGCTTGTCTTATCTTCTCCTAACCAGAGTGGGAGCTCTGTCCCCGCCCACGCTGTCCCCGCCCACTCTGCCTCTCCTCCACGAGAGAGACCATTCCCCTGGGTTATCATGACACAGTCATCCATTACTCCACCTACATAGCACTTTGGCCCTCCACACGGGCTGTGGCAACTTTATATTATGCTCACTTCTCCCTCAGCTGAGTTACAACCCTCTTTCTAATCCACCCGCCAGCTCCATGGGGGCAGGACTCATGTCTTCTACTTTGCTGTAAATCCAGTAGTATATAGGTGTATAGTGTGTTCAACAATTATATGTAAATTTATTCATTCGGAGGAAATCAAAATTCCCTATAGAAACTGACAGCAAATTCTACTCCTTCTACTGTCATCTGAAATGCTTTAGCCCCAGACTTCTTATGTGCTCATGAAAGCTGCAGTCAGGGGTTTTATCATAAACATACTCCACAGGAAAAAAAATCTGTGCAAGTGAAAATTAATATCAATAAAGAAAATTCTGTTTCATGCCATGAATATGTATCCACGGGAGTGATTAAAGCTGAGAGGAGAATGAAGAGTGTGTAAACAAGTCTTCTAGGAGCTTAGGATCTCATGTCTATACTCCCGATTTCCAAATAAAATGAACCATGCAGGAAAAAAAAATCCCCTGCATATATTTTTCTCCCTAAAAAGAGGAGGAATAATTCTAGAAAGTACCAGAAGCTGCAAAAATGTCCTTCTATAGGAGGGAGCAGATGTGGCCAGATTCCAGGGATGATAAATATGTTTGGGAAACACAACATATAGACATGCAGATATGTGGGATCTCCTATTGCTCTTTTTCCTTTTCTTATCCAGCTGTGAAGCTTCCTAAAATTATTGAGAAAGCCTTTGCCACTTCTGAGTTCAGGCTCTGAAAGGAGTGTGTGTCTGTGTGTGCACGCGTGCACACGCCTATGACAGTCCCCAACATCTTTACTAAATCAGAATGGCCCTTTCCCATCCCACAGGAGCACTGAAGGAGACTTATGTATTGAAATGAATACCAAATGCTTAACTAAGCGCCTGACTATAGAGAGCACCCAGTAAATGGTAGTTCCTCCATCTCCCCCCCTCTGCCCCCCCCCCCCATCTCTCTCTTTCTGTTTCAAAGCAGGCGCATAATCTATCAGATCACGGTGCCAGAATTTTACATGTTTTAAAATTGTATCCAGGGCCTAACTGCTATTGCTTTTACTCACTAAGCTTCTGCTGGGCAAGGGATAGAAAGGCTGCCTTCAAAACAGAATGAATTCTGAATTCAGGAATGACTAAATTAGGTCTGTCTTCACTGATTTTATATTTTAAAAATAACCTGTTTGCAAAAGTAAGATTTTGAAGGTGCTGTACGGCAGTTCTAAAAGAATGGAAACCCCTATGCCTGAATTAAACTCAAAAGGGAATGAATTCGCTGCTCCTTGAACTTAAGTACTTACCCGGCATCTGGGCAAATGGAGGCTGGGGGCTGCTGACTCCACTCTGGAAGGCAAAGAGAGTGCAAGCGTTTTCTCTTGTTCCAATTTCAAATTAAAAAAAAATTAGGGATACATTTTACAAGCTTTATATTCTGATATTAAGAAACATTATTTGGGGACTAGACTTAGAGGGCAACCTAGGTTAAGAATTCAAGTATCAGAGGGATGCCTGGGTGGCTCAGTCGGTTAAGCTTCTGACCTTCAACTCAGGTCATGGTCTCATGGTTCGTGGGTTTGAGTGCCGCGCTGGGCTCTGTGCTGACAGCTCAGAGCCTGAAGCTGCTTCAGATTCTGTCTTCCTCTCTCTCTTCCTCTCTCTCTTCCTCTCTCTCTGCCCCTCCCCTGGTTGTGCCCTGCCTCTCTCTCTCTAAAAAATGAATAAACATTACAAAAGAATTAAAAAGAAAAGAATTCAAGTATCAGAGAACAAAGTTTTATGAGGACAGAGGAAAACCAAAGTTAAGATTCTGGTAAACATGCCAAAAAGCACAGGCTAGATGAAATGGCATCATTTGTAGTTCATTCTTTTTTACTGTTTGTGGTAAAATCGAGTATATACCATGTGATTTTTATACACACATGCACATGCTTGGCATTTGGCTTCAGCATTGAGTGGTCACTGTTCTCCCATCTGCCTTCATGTAGAATCAAAACTCCAGCAAGAATAGGGACCTTGACTGTGGCTTGTGCTCCGTGCCCAGAACAGAATGTGGTTCATAGTAGACACAACAAAAATGTGTAGAATAAAGCTACAGCCCTCAAAGAGCCCATGATCTAGTGATCATGGGAGGTTGGGGGATGCTGTCTGTTGAATTATGTCCCCCCAAAAGATGTATGGAAGTCCTAACCCCGGTACCTGTGAATGTGACCTTATTTGCAAATAGGATCTTTGAGGATATAACTAGTTGAATTAAGATGAGGTCATACTGAAAGAGGGCAGGCTCTAAATCCAATGTGACTGGTGTCCTAATGAAAAGAGGAGAGAGAAACACAGAGACACAGACACAGAGGGAGGAAGTCGACGTGAAGACAGAGGTGGAGTTGGAGTGACGCAATGTCAGGCTAAGGACCCCCGGGGACCGTGGGCCAGCAGCCACCAGGGGCTGGAAGATGTAGGGAGGTGCGCTTCCCTAGATCCTTCAGAGGAAGTCTGGCCCTGCCGATGCCTTGATTTGAGACTTCTGGTCTCAGAACTGACAGACAGTACCTTTCTGGCATTTTAAGTCACTCCATTTGTAGTTAATCTGTTACTACAGCCCTGGGAAGCTAACAGAGAGAATGACCAAGAAACAGACAATTCGGTGGAGTGTGAGAAGTGGCGTGGTGGGGGAAAGGTGGAGTGAGGGGGGCACAAAGGCTGGCATTAGGGATGGGGTGGGCAGGTGATACCCAAGCCGACCTCTGAAGGAAGGGTATCCAGGGGTACAGAGTCTTAAAATATGCAATTGTGAATTCTGGCTCCACGAGGCCCAGCAACCAAGTAATGTAGGAAAAAAATAGCTGTTGTAAAAGTTAAGAGTCCTCAACATCTAGTTCTTTGATCTGAGTTCTTGACCTTGACGCTCACAGTGCTCGAGACCCTCAAAAGTTGGAAGAGATTTTATGGAGAGCCTCCCGCAAGCCCCCACCCAATGCCAAGGTCCTGTCTGTATCATTAACACTGGGTGCATTTAGCTCCTAGGGCTGGAGAACCCAACACCCTCTCAGAAAGGCCACTTCTTCTCTGGACACCTCTGACTGTCTCAAAGCAGGCGGAAAAGAATCATTTTCTTATTTCTCATGCTTTTGTTCCGTATACAGTAAGTTTAACCCCTTCTTCCATACGTGGCCCTTCAAATATGTGGAGACAACCCATCATTTCCCAAGTGTCTTAATCAGTTTGAGCTAACGTGTTGGATACGACGGGCTGGGTGGCTTATCCAGGAAACGTTTCTCCCAGATTCAGAGGCTGGAAGGGTGCCCACGCGGTCAGGTTCTTGGTGGGGGGGACCCTCTTCCTGGTTGGTCTGCACATGGCCTGCTTCTTGCTGTATCATCATGTGGCAGAAAGAGAGATCATCTCTCTCCGGTATCTCTTCTGTGAGGGCACTAATCCCAATCGCAAGGGCTCTACCCTCACAGCCTAATTAGCTCCCAAAGGCCCATTTCCAAACACTATCACATGGGGGGTTAGGGCTTTAACACAGAAATTCTGAGCAGACATAGCACCAAAGTGGAGCTCAATCTCGTCCAAGCAAAACTATTCTCCAACCACGCAGAAGTAGCACAAGTTATTGGAGCAAAGAAGACTCTGCACCCAGAGTTTGAATCCCAGCTCTGCCTCTTATTAGCTGTGTGATCTTGGGTACGTGAAGATTAAATTGTATCATACGTGCCAGGCACTTAGACTAGCTCCTGGCATAGGGTGAGCAGGAATGAGTGCTAGTTACGTTGTGCTTATCACTCGCATGCGTTTCTATGCCCCTTCAAATCTCTGACAAGTTCCTCTAAATGTGTATTGATTTATGTGTCTTCCTGTTGAATAAGTGAACACTTCGAAGTGGCAGAAGGGAGCCATGGGCAGGCTGGGGCAGGGGTGCCCACATCTTACACGGGAAGGAAGGGAAGCCGTGATTACGCATAGAAGCACTTGTGTTTGGCACATTTTCCCATGTTGCCGGGGCCCATCTCACCCTGAGGTTCCCGCCAACTGCCAGGTGTCTGGCTGGGTGCTTCCTCCAAGGTGTGCACCAACGCCTATGACCTCCGGCTTCTGCCTCACCTGCTTCTGGGGGTCCTGAACGCTGCCCCTGGTGGGGGGTGTCTGGTTCCTCTGCTCCCACCTTCTCACCCTGCCTGCTCCCCTAACAGCTCTGGCCAAGTCTCACAGAAGACGCCCGCACAGGCCCGATCTGATGGCCGAGTGTCAGCACCCTCTGCTGCCCTCACACGGCTCTGCCTCCAGCCTCTTCCCCAGGGCGTGGAGGAGGCCCCGTCTACGCTGACACAGTTTTTGACACTTCTGCTGGGAAAGCCTTCCTGTCATTCTCCGGTGCCACCAGGCAGTCCCTGGGATCTCCCCACTCTCCTCCTCCCGCCCTGGCCCCCCATCCCTGCGGAACTGCGGCGCTCTGCCCTCCCCCAACCCGCACTCCGTGCCCGAAGTCCCTGCAGCAGTTTCCCAATTACGGGTCTTGTCGATTTTATTTATGGTTGGATGAAAAGAAGCCTCTTGCGTTCATTTCTCCTACACAAATTTGCCTTCTACCTGCTGTGGAAATTACAACTGTGTTTCCATTGTTTACGGTTACTGGTAACATTTTACCTGGTGTATTTAACAAAGACGACGAACAATACCCCAAAACTCCCACGGATGAGGTCCTCGGAGCATCAGCTCCCACTAGGCCTCTCCTAATGTGTGTGGGGATGCTATTTCCCGGCATTTTACCTTGTTTCCTTATATTACAGCTTCCCAAATTAGACACCATAATTATCATCATTTTTTTAAAAAGTTATTTGGAGAGAGAGCAAGAGAGAGATAGAGAGTGTGAGCAAGGGAGAGACAGAGAGAGGGAGAGAAAGGATCCCAAGCAGGCTCCGAGATGTCAGTGCAGAGCCCTACTTGGGGCTCGATTCCTGATGGTGAGATCATGACCTGAGCTGAAATCAAGAGTTGACACTTAACCAACTGAGCCACCCAAGCACCCCATCATCATTTGACTAGGTAAATCTGTATTCGATTTTTTTATGTGTTCACTATTTTCTTTGCTTACTCTTCCTCCAGACTATTTTTTTAGGATTCATTTTCCTCTTTCTGAGGCACCTGATAGAGCCTGTTTGAGAGTCTCTCTCCCTCTCTCCCTGCCCCTCCCCCACACTTGCTCTCTCTCTCTCTCTCTCTCTCTCAAAAAAAAAGTAATCCTTCAGAAAATTCCTTTCCTGTAGGTGATGTTGGTGGTAAAATGTCTCAGTTTTTATTTATCTGAAAATATAATTTTTTTCTCTTGTACTTAAAAGATAATATTGAAAAGGTTCACAGTCATAACTTTATAGTACTTCCCTTGTCTGCACTTCAAAGATGTCACCCCATTGTCTTTCCATGATTCCACAGCTTCCATGATCGCTGTGGACCTTATAGTTATTCTTTAGGCAAATTTTCTTTCCTTTCTGCCTTTTAAAAGAAATTATTATGGAAGTAGAGTTGAATACATGTTACGTTAGCTTCAGGTGTACAACTCTAGGGCTCTGTCAATTCTACACATCACTCAGTGCTTACCCATGGTAAGTGTAGGCACCCTCTGTCATCGTACAATGTTACTATAATATTGTCGACTATGTTTCCTGTGTTGTACTTTTCATCCCTCCAACATTTATTTTATAATTGGAAGTTTGTATCTCTTAATCCCCTTCACCTGTTTCACCCATCTCCCCACAATGGCAACCACCAGTTTGTTCTCTGTATCTAAGAGTCTGTTTTTACTCACTTAGCATTGTACCCCCAGCTCCATCCATGTTGTTGCAAATGGCAAAATTCTATTCTCTTTTATGGCTGAGCAATATTCACTCGTGTATATATATATATCACATCTTTTAAAAAATTTTTAATGTTTAATTATTCTTAGAGAGAGAGAGGGAGGGAGGTGCAGAGAGAGAGAAGGAGACACAGAATTGGAAGCAGGCTCCAGGCTCCAAGCTGTGAGCACAGAGCCTGATGGAAGGCTCGAACTCATAAACTGTGAGATGATGACCTGAGCCAAAGCCACCCAGGCGCCCTTATACCACATCTTTAACCACTCATCTACTGAAGGACACTTGGGATGTTTCCAGAAGTTGGCTATTGTAAATAATGCTGCAATAAACATAAGGGTACATACATCTCTTTGAATTAGTGTTTTTGTTTTCTTTGGGTAAATACCCAGTTATGGAATTACTGGATCATATTTTTAGCTCTATTTTTAATTTTTTGAGGAAGCTCCAACTGTCTTCCACAGTGGCTACACCAGCTTGCATTCCCACTAGTGGTGC